GCAAAAGGTGGAAGTGGGAGGTACCACTGTGGACTTTGCAACTTCTGCTAAAGTTCTTGGTATGACTGTTGACCAAAATTTGTCGTGGGAACCACATGTTAAACTTATATGCAGAAGATCCATACATAAGCTTAGAAGTTTATATAAAGCCAAAAATCTTTTACCTACAAATATTAAATTAAACTTAATTAAACAGTTAATATTTCCTTATGTAAATTACGGTGATGTGTGCTACCACGGACTAACAAAGCAACTTAGCCAAAAAATACAAAAAATCCAAAACCACTGTGTGCGATTCGCATGTGACATTAAAAGGCATGAACATATAACGCCCGTTCTTAACTACCACAACATACTTAACATGACTCACGCCCGTCTATACCACATGCTAAAAATGATGCACAAAATCATTGTGAATCAGAAGCCGCCGTACCTATTTACACAATTTTCGTCCTTGAAAAGTTTTCACCGGTACTCTACGCGAAACTCAAACTTGTTGATCCCAAAGGCAGCTACAAGTATGGGTGCATCATCCTTCCACGTGCAAGCCGCGAAACTGTGGAACAAGTTGCCAGTGGAACTACGTAGTTCGTCGTCGAGCTTAGTTTTTTCGCGAGGCTGTCTACGATTCTTAAACACATTGGACATGGACTAATATTATATTTTTTAGCGCATTTGCCACAAAAATTAAAAAAAAATCGCGCTTTGTGGCCACTTTGTCCGTCCGTCCGTCCGTCCGTCCGCTAACTTTGCGACGCTACTAGTTTTTTATCTTAAGAGCTATTGTTCTACTTTTTCGCTATTTGGTTCGTTATGGTGTCGAGTCTTGTACCAAGGAAGGAATTTTTTCTGTACCGCTTACAAAAAATGTTATTGTAAAAAAAACAAAAAACCGTTTTTTACATGTTCCATAATTTTACACTTTTGCCGTTTATTAACGATCCTAGAGATCGTTTATAATTTTGCATTGCTATCTGTCGCCTGCCGGTTTGTCTGTCCGTCTGTTCC